TCCAATGACCGCTGCTGAAGAATGTATACATTGTCATGCATACAGCAGCGCGTACATCGTTGTTCTTGACATAAAAGGCCATAGTGACATATTTCTCGTCAAGCATGAGATAGCGCGGCAGTGCGGTATGTAAGTTCCTTCCATTGTATTGATTTCGCTACCAATCTAGCAGAGTTCGGATCGACCCTTGTTGTTTTTCGCCTCTATAGGGTGACTGCTGCTGTTGCTGCTCTTCTGTTGGGAAAATGGAGGGTTCGTGTTTTGTTTAACGGCAACGAAAGGTCACGAAGACTCCGCGCCAGTCGGATGCAGTCATAATATTTCATGTGATATCTACTGTCACCCGAGTCATGCAAATAATTTTCATGTGCTGATACCCGCAATGCAACCTTCGTCGCATCTTCGTCATCACCCCACGTGCCACCGCCTGCAGAAGTTGTACGAGTTCCTGGATGCTGAGGGTCAGGCGGAGAATATGGTGTTCTATGACCAGCGAGAGGGAGGCGGGATAACAGCAGACGGGACAAGGGTTGAGCAGAGGCAAAAGATATTTCGGGGAGTGAACGGACTTTTTTTCACGTTGATGGTCCTGCGCACCGCAACACCGATTGTGGTGGCATCGGCCCTGTTTGGTGTCCACGAGACTACCGGGGGGAGGGCGTTCACGACGTGGTTAAACTCCCTTTGGCGTAGTCTTCGGCCTTTGGTTCGGCTTCCTACCTTAGCAGAGGTGGACGAGTTCGTCCCGCAGACCTTTGTCGATCATGGGTATGCAAAGTGTGTTCTAATAGTTCTGGACGCCACTGAGATAGAAATTTGCAGGTCTTGGCAAACTGACTGGAACTGGATCACATATTCCACGTACAAGGGCAGACAGACGGCGAAATTACTTGTCGCGGTCACCCCTGGGGGTGCGATTTGTTACATTGGGCCCGCGTATTCCGGTAGGATGTCCGATGTTGAAGTTGTAAAGGCGTCTGGTCTTGTCGACGCCATGAGGGACAATGGCCTTGATCACGAAGGCCTCATGGACATGGCGGACAAGGGGTTCAATTCGGTGTCGCCGTTGTTGATCGAGGAAGGTTTCCTGTACGTGGCGCCCCCGTACAAGCGGCAGAAGGAGAAGCAGTTCACTGAAGCCGACATGGAATCCAACTGGGAGGTAGCGAATTTGCCCATTCATGTAGAGCGGGCAATCGGGGCCATGAAGAAGTGGAGCATCGTCGACAAGAAATTCAACCATAAGCAACTCGATCACTTGGAGATGTGCTTCCATGTGGTTGCAGCTCTAGTAAACATGATTCAGCAGCCGTTCAAGAGCGAGAAGTATATTTGTTAGTCTTCTCTTATTTCTTTTTTTATCTCCTGTTGGAGTTTAGAGTTGATCCTTTTTTGCTGATAAACGAGTTCTTTTTTCGGGCGTAGTGTTGGGTTGGTGAACGGCATACCGGCCCATGACTTGCATCGGTTGTTTCCAGGCCTCGGACGGAATACTCTTTGTTTGGTAACCCTCGTGAACGTTGGACATCCTTAAGTTGGAGTTAGACTATCGCGTCTGGAATTTCCTTGGGGACAGAACCAGATGAATCTCTTGCAGCGTCAGTGCTGTCCTCGTGGAACGTAAGGTAACGCGGCGAACAGCGAGCGTGCGAATATTAACACGGGAAACGGAAAGACGCCTAGGATGACGACCTCATCGAACTGTATTGCCTAGGGCTTGGCACAACCGAACCCCGTGTTTCGGTGCCATGTTAGAGGTTTCGTGTATCTTGCTGGCTCCCCGTGCGACACAGTGCACAGAATGGGGTATTGGGGTTGAAGAGTGCAACCTGTCGTCGATTTTCGTAACGTTGTATTTTAGGCATCGGGGTATTCGCATCACAGCGTAGAATCGGTGTCAAAGGGTTTCAAGACGAGCGCAACACATACTTCGTAGCGGAAAACACCATGTTGTATCCCCAGGCAGGCCCAGGTGCAAAATTAGCCTAAATCCATAAAAAAGACCCTCCCCCCCCCCCCCCCCCGGTGTTTGCCATCGGGGTTTGGGTTTTCGTCGCTTGGCAACGACGTTGTAAAACAAGCCCCCCACTCGGTGTTTGCCATCGGGATTGGGTTTTCGTCGCTTGGCAACGACGTTGTAAAACAAGCCAATTCACTTCGTGAACTCGGCAACCAGGTTACCGTCTTTTTTTTTTACCTCTGGTTTTTTTTTTGGCGGTAACCATAATGGTGGTCGAGTAGATCATGTTGTGCGGGGTCGAGAAACCTCACTCCGCGCAACGGGGGATGATCGCACCACGTTGTGTTAAAATGGTCAAGCTTCCTCGAGGCAGTTACACAGTGCTTACAACTGTCTCTGGAAGTGAAAGCACCAGAAAATAAATTAAGTCATACGTAGCTGTCATCCGTACGCAAGGAAGAAAGCACAAGATGCCGAACACCCTTAGCAGGATGCAGCTCACCCTTCATGCGACTCGCCAAATACCTCACGGCGCTTCGCGCTTGGTGATGTGAGAGCCTGGTCCGGTGAGAACCCGGCGTGCTCCGTCCCGGCTTTGTGGGGATGCGAGGTCAATGGTCAAACGACTACGGCATGCACGAACTAGGAGTACCCCCCCCCCCCCCCCCTCCGCATTCACGGTAGGGAGGAATCATCCAAGGTAGAAAGAGGGCGGGAAAGCGGACGTACTGCTTCTTCCTGGACGTGAAAAAGGCATACGATACCGTATGGAGAAATGGGCTGTGGAAACAATTGTCCAAGTACGGGATCAAGGGGAAAATGTGGAGAGTGCTGAAGAAGATGACAGAGTGTACGAAAAGCGCGGTCATGCTAGACGGAGAACTTTCTAAATTCTTCGACATTGAGCAAGGGGTCCCACAAGGTTGCACGCTGTCCCCAACATTGTTCCAGGTGTTCATCAACGATCTGTTGGAAGTCGTAGAGGCAGTCCGGAAGGGAGTAAAAGTAGGGGACACGGAAACTTCGGTGTCAGGAATGCTGTTTGCGGATGATTTTGTTGGTATGTCGGACACCCCTGAGGGACTGCAACTGCAAATTGACGCGGCGAAGAAGTTTACTGATAAGTGGAGATTGTCTGCCAACGTTACGAAGAGTGCCGTCATGGTATGCAACGAGGGCAGGGAGGAACTAGTAGAACATAGATGGAAGTGGGGGATCGAGGAGATTGCAGTAGTGGACCAGTACACATACCTCGGAGTAGAGATCGCAAAAGATTGCTCGTGGAATACACACATGTCCAAGGTAGCGGAAAAGGGCAAAGCACGAACAGGGAAGCTGCACCCAATACTCGCAAACCGGCACCTTGATACACGCATCAAATTGACGGTTTTGAAGAGCGTAATCGTACCACCGCTAGAGTACGCCGGAGAATTATGGGAAGGAAATAAGAAGGTAGTGAAAGAACTCGAGGCGGCGCAGATGAAAGCAGCGAAAATCATCCTAGGATGCTCCAAGCGCACAAGTAATGCAGCAGTCAGGGCAGAATTGGGGATCCAATCCCTACGGTCGAGAAGAGACGTAAGGAAGCTGACATGGCAGTATCGCATGTGCGGGATGGGAGAGGAGAGATTGCCGAGAATAGTATGGGAGGCGAAGTGGGCAAACAAAAAGAGGGGTAGACAACTCACGGAATGGGTCAAGGTTGTAGAGGACGTATGGAAGGGATTGGACATCGACAAAGATGAAACGCTTGAAACGGAGGGTCTACAGGGGTTCAAGAAGAAGATATATGTTGCTTGTGCCGACAGAGAAGAACAGAATCTAAGGAAAGAATCCAAGGATAAGGAGGGTCTAGAAGTGTACGGAATGTTGAAAGAAGGAATAGGGTTCAAGGATTACCTACATGGACCAATGGATGCAGGGACAAGGCTTAAGGTCAAATTCAGGACCGGGGACATAGGCCTGCGCGAACGTCGACGAAGACATCGGACCGTAGACGACGAAGACGACAAGTTCAAATGTGATTGCGGCTTCGAATGCGAAGACAGTGTTCATGTAGTCGTGGAATGTCCGTGGTACGAAAAGGAGAGGGAAGTGTACATGACTGAGCTGGGAAAAATACAAGGGACGTACAGGGAGATGTTTGAGGCATGGAATAGGGAGGAGAGGACGGTAGCGGTACTGGGGAGTAGAAAGTGGTTTGAAAAGGCGGGAAGGGACATCGTTAGGATAGACAAAGTAGGGAAGACATTTTTGAGCCACCTTTGGCAAAGTAGGAAGGAACGATTGGCCATCGGTGATCGGTCCTGTGGGAACAATGCTCCGTCCTCTCGAGGA